GCACGGGGCGTTCCGGTCGTGGGACGAGCAAACAGGCGGTTGTAGGGACGACGAGTGAGCTTGCAATGTGAGGATCAAGAGGCCCTGTGTTTGATAGTGTTAGACAGTAAAACTGACTTAACAGTTAGTAAGTTCAAATTGAAATGTCATTTCATAACATAAGTACACTTTTTTTACGGACAGATTTACCCTCCAAACAGTTGCTACTTGTGTAATAAATATTTGTGGTCCAAGGGGCAATTGTGACATGTTTTTGCATTAAATTTGTCAAAATATTAGGCTTCCAATTATTTGTGGCCAATATGCAAAAACTACTTGTTTCAATTGGTGTGTAAATTGGGACAATGTCACAATAAAATTAAATGCACCATTTTTCTAGAAGGACCCCTAAAGATACTAAAAATTGACTCATTATGAGCACACACTTTCCACATTTAGTAAATGTGTGTGGTTTCACTAATCATACACTTGCTTAAAATGGACTTATTATGTCTTAATTAGCTTTTGGCCCAATATTCTTTTTTTCTTAATTACAATCCAAATCTTGTGGGAGACGGCCTTACGGTTCGGCAAGTCTATCCGTCATACTTTTTCTGTATATGCAAAAAAAACCAATCAAAACGCAAATAATAAAATACCACTTGAAAATTACTCATGCAGGAGAAAAAGATTCTTCTTTAGTTATAATTATTACCAAAAGTTGTGTTATTGCACTTATGACATAGATGCAATAGGTAGTTAGGTAGGAATCGGACAAGAAGCCGCCGAGGAGCGCGAGTAGGAAAGCCGTGCCCATGAAGCATGTAACCGTGTTAGCCGAAGCCGATGGCGAAAAGTTCATATACTTTGTGAGATAAAGAACCAAATTGCTTGCATTGGCTAGGTATGCTAGGTTTTCAAGAACCTCCACAACTATATATGTATACATATTTAGATGGATGAAGCCAAAATGAAATAAAATAAGTTAAAAAAATTGTTTTTATATGAAAAAAAAAATGAATATAAATTGGATTGTTTGTGAAGGTAAGGGTATACTGAGAACAAATGAGGCTGCAAGCACGCCGCCATGACGGCCTCTGATCGCCGGCCGGTTTCTCCAGTCAGCGTAGCCTTCCCAATAGTCGGAATTTTTTCCGTTGTCCTGTGTGATCGGAGAACAAAAAATATGTAATCAAATTAGTAGAATAATTAAAAAGAAAATGAGATACTTTTTTTTTAATTTGACAAGAGAGAGAGAGAGAGAGAGAGAGAGAGAGAGAGAGAGAGAGAGAGAGAGAGAGAGAGAGAGAGAGAGGATTGAAATGAACCATATCTCTTGTTATAATGTGTGACATTTATGTTGTGTGTGAAGGTTATGTGAAGGTGTAGGGGTTTAAATAGTGGAAATTGTTGGGTTATGGTGAATGGAGAAGGGGAAAATCTGAATGATTCTATCAATGTTGATATTGACATTACGTTTTTTGGAGATGCTACAGTTCTGTTACGGTACTATTTTGTCGGGGTTTGTAACCGTTAGATCATTATATAACTGTTGTGGATAGTTGATCTAACGGTTACAACCCCAAACGGAATAGTTCCGTAGACCGTAGCATTTTCCTACATTTTTATCTAGAAATTTTTTTACCACATTAATTTGTGTAGTTTATTTATTTACTCAATTGTTGTGGAGTTAGCACTCAAGTGGATGACAGTAAATTATATGAGAGGTTGATTCATAGGAATTGTTTCATGAGAGTCAAATTTCAAAATTTGAAAGTAAAGACTATTGATAGTGGTTTAAATATATTGACAAAATTCCTTTTTTTATTTTCACATTTATGAAATAACAACAACAACAACAACAACAAAGTCTAGTCCCAAACAAGTTGGGATAGGCTAGAGATGAAACCCAACAGAAACATTGGTAAAAAAAAAAGATTGGAGCAAAAGAGAATGGAGCAAAAGTCACGGTTCCGGCACGTTGATCGCTAGCCTCCAAGTGCTCCTATCCACCGCTAAATCCTTGGAGATATTCCAATCTTTAAGGTCTCTCTGAACCGACTCTTCCCAAGTGAATTTAAGCCGACCTCTACCTCTCTTAACAACATCGGGCCGCTGTAGAACTCCCCTACGCACCGCTGTAGAACTCCCCTACCTCTCTTAAAATATATTTCACATTTATGAAATATATTTTTTTTTTTGGTGCAAACATTTATGAAATATATTAATTATTAGTGTTTAAAAATGAATGATTTCTGGTTTTTTTTTTCCTACTGATATATAATATAAATGTGTATATATGGCTTAATTTTAAATGTCATATTTTTGCAGAAAAACTTAAAAACTGTAGTAACCTGAAATCATCACTGATTTTGGGCCTACTCTTGTTGCCATTCAGCCCATATTCAAGGTTGGGCTTTTCCTTCATTATAACTTCAAATATGGCCCACGTTTGGTCAACCAGAAATCATGTTTACGACATCCACAAAAAAAATTGAGCCATAACACAAAAGGCAGCAAAGACAGTGAATCCATCTAAAAATAAGTAAAAGTTAAATTAAAATGAAGTAAATTAACCACTCACACTATTTGACTGTTATTATACATTTATTAAACAACAAAAGTACACATTTTAGATTTATGTTAGTAACAAAAAATTGATTTTGTTTCGATTTTACGATTTTATTTTTCGTAGATGAAAGAATAAGTTTTGTCTCCTTGTTTCAAACCTAACACATACCAGTTGAGGGCTTTAAACACATAAAGTTCTTACATATCTACTAATACTTCAATAAGGGTCATTACATCGTACAATTGAATTTTAAGAGCTCTTTGCATTATATTAAAAAAAGTTCATATTTATATGGTATTCTTTATGTTCGTTTCAT